GTGAGACCCTGTCTCAAAAAGACAGAAAAGAAAAAATAAAAATAAAAATAAAAACACAACAACATCACCCTAGTTAATATACATTCATACTCAGCAGCTGGCCTAGAGGGCTGACTTATCCACAGAGGAGAAAGGGTCAAGTTTATGTCAAGCCAGGCGTGGTGGTGCACACCTGCAATCCCAGCACTTGGGAGGCTGAGGCAGGAGGATCTTGTGAGTTCGAGACCAGGCTGGGCTACAAAGTGAGCTCAAGGCCAGCCTGAACCGCATAGCGAGACCCTGCCTCAAAAAGACAATCAATCAATCAATCAATCAAGGCACTGCAGCAATGATGCAATTCAAGGTTCAAGAGACTGTAAATGGCTAAGGAGAGGTAACAACCTCACACCCAGATAGGTCGTTTTCTTTGTTTAGCCCTGGCTGCCTTGCTCATCAGCGTTCCTGCACACAAACAAGGAGGGGCAGCCTCCGCCTCCTCCCGCCCTGGGAAGGTCTCTGCAGCTGATCGCAGAGCCCAGCCTCCCACAGGAACCTCCGTGCCTCGCACACCTTGCGTTCTGCATGCCTGCACAGCGTCACATGGGTGATGCCAAGGTCTGCCGTCATCTTGAGAGCAGCTGGGTCCCCTTGGATCACAGCTGCAGCAGCTTCTGAGGGCCTGGATTCTGAACACCTGGAAGCATTGCCTTAGATGGCCTTGAGTAAGACTCCTCAAAACTAAGTCTTATTAATTAATTTATTTATTTGAGACAGAGTCTCCCTATGTAGCCCAGGCAGGCCTCAAACTCAGTGATCCTCCTGCCTCAGCTTCCTGAGTCCTGGGATTACAGCATGCTCCCAACCCCCCATGCCCAGCATGCACTCCCATGCCTAGCTTTTTTTTTGTTTTTGTTTTTATAGCAGCAGGAATCAAACTCAGGACTTCACACTTGCTAGGGAGGTGCTGCTCAACTGAGCTAAATCCCTGGCCCTTTTTTTTTTTTTTTTTTTTTTTTTTTTGAGACAGGATTTCACTATGTAGTTCAGGCTGCCTTTAAACTCACTATGTAGCCCAGGCTGGCTTCAAATTTAAGCAATCCTCCTGCCTCAAACTCCCAAAGCAAAGTCGTTCAAACAATTTTACACCTACACACTTGCACCTGTGATAAGTAGAGTCTGGCCAATTTCTGAGATGCCCTCACAGCATCTTTCCTATTGTTCTGGTGCAAAGTACTTGGCTTCTTTTTTTTTTTTTCTTCCTGTCTTTTTGAGACAGGGTCTCACTATGCGGTTTAGGCTGGCCTTGAGCTCACTTTGTAGCCCAGCCTGGTCTCGAACTCACAAGATCCTCCTGCCTCAGCCTCCCAAGTGTTGGGATTGCAGGTGTGCACCACCACACCCGGCCTATTTCTTTTTTTTAACATGGTTGTTTTAACAAGTTAATAAACCCCAAAATTCCAATGGCTGACACCATAGGAGATTGTGGGGCTTTTGATGGGTTTTTTTTTTAGGTGGCCAGTTGGGCGGAGTTCGTTTCGTTTTCATATTTATTTTTGCTTTGCTCGTGAGCTCCGTGGGCTCTGTGTAGGAAGTAGGGAGGCCGCCCAACCATCTTGGCCACATGGCTCCAGAGGTTACTGCCACGTTCACTCAGAGAAGCGTGTGTCTGGGTTGCCTCCTGCTGGCTTACAAATCCTCTTAACAGATATTATAGACAGTAACACTGTCCATATTGAAAAAATGTTGCTACACCAAAATGTCAAACACAAGGGGTCAAGCCTGTCCGCCTGCGGGTTGGGGATGTGTTCAGGAAGGCCTTTGCCGCCTGGCACTGTCAGACGTGCACACTTCCTCTCTAGGTGTGGGGCCGAAGGGAGGACAGAGACCAGGGGACCTGAGCGGAGGGCAGCGGGTGAGTCCTGGTCCTAGCGGTACAAGAATGGCCGGGGCCACTGGGAGGGAGCCCGGCTCTTCCTAACGTTCTCAGGGCGACTCTGGAAAAAAATAACTGGAGACAGGTGCTGCTTGGGCTGGGAGCGGGAGCGGACGGGACCAAAGTGCCGGGGCTGCTGCTCCCTGCTCCCCCGTCCTCTGGCCTGTCCGCAGCGGCACAGGAAACCCCCTGCCGGCTTGGCCCCCACGGCTGCGACCCACAGCGGCCCACAGAGGAAAGTACCTCGGGGCTTCGGAGCTTTCTGAGGTTTCACAGAGGCAGCTGTGAGGCCCCAGGAAGCCCGGGACGCAGGGGAGCTCTGGCGGGAAGCCCGGGACGCAGGGGAGCTCTGGCGGGAAGCCCGGGACGCAGGGGAGCTCTGGCGAGGGCCAAAGGGCTGTGGCGCCAGGGTCGCTGAGAGCCAGGAAAGGGCGCATTGTCCCTGTGACTCGCCTCCCAACACCTGCTGACTCCAGGACGGGTCACACCGCTCTGCTGCCCGGCGGGACGTGGTCCCTGGCTGCGGGCAACTCTTCCTTTTTTTTTGCATCTGGGAAACAGGAAACAAAAGCAGAAGTTCCCAGCTTCTGCAGGCGGCAGGCGCAGGCGCAGACACGCAATAACCCCAGCCCTCCCTCGGAGGCCAGCGGGAGGGGCACAAGTTCAAGGCACCTGGGCAATTTAGCAAGACCCTGTCTCAAAACAGAAACTGAAAAGGGCTGAGGATGTCGCTGAGGCCCCCGGAACCCAGGAACAGGACTGTGGGGCTATGTGCTCTACTGGGTGGAGATAGATACTATAGGCTTAGTTTTCTTTTGCTACTATAAAAAATTGTCACACAGTGCTGAGCAACACAAATTTATTCTCTCAGGGCTGAGGATTTAGCTCAGCGGCACAGTGCCTGCCTGGCAAGCACAAGGTCGTGAGTTCGATTCCTGGTAACAGAAAAAAGCCAAAAAAAAAAAAATTTATTCTCTCTTAAATTTTGGAGTCTCTTCAATTCCGCCTCCACAGGGCTGCAGTCCTCCCAGAGGTGCTCAGGGAAAGGCCACTTCCTCCAGAGGTCAGCACCTCGCTGAGACCCTGGGCCTGCAGTGCTGCAGCCTGAGTCCCCTCTCCCTCACAACACTCCTGCCTCTCTCAGACTTTGATTTGCCACCTCTCCTTAGGAAGACCTTGTGAGTATGTCCTTTCCCCTCCTGGCCAATCCAGAACAGCCTCCCATCCTCATGCCCCAAGTTACACCCGCAGAACCTGCGCATGGAGGGAAAACGTTCCTGGACTCCGGGGCTGGGCGTGTGTATCTTTGGGAGCCATTATTCAGCCTACGAAACACAAAAATTCAGGTTGGTTGGTTTGTTTTGGTCTTTTTGAGACAGGGTCTCACTATGCAGTTCCGGCTGGCCTTGCACTCACTTTGTAGCCCAGGCTTGCCTTGAACTCACAGTGATCCTCCTGCCTCAGCTTCCTGAGTGCTGGTGTTATAGAGGTGCGCCACCAAGCCTGGCAAAAAATTCAGTTTTTATATTAGAATGGTAAACATAAAGAAAAAAAAATACAGTGGGGAACAGGAGCCAGAGTGTGGGTTTGCAGGGTGGGGAGACTCTTTCGCTGGAGTGGCCGGCGCAGGCCTCGTTTGTGTGGGTGACTGGGCCGTTGAGTCCCCAGCTGAGGACTTTGAGGATCCTCCCACAGGGTTCCAGGGGACACGTGGGAGCCGTAGGAGGTGAAGGGGTTATTATGTTCACAGGCGCCCAGATGCTGCTCAGCACCCACATCGGAGGTGCCCTGGGCCCCGGAAGTGGCACACCCGAGGGGTGGAGTGCTGAGACTCAGAACCCACAGCCAGGGCTTCCTGGGGGTTGGAGGAGAACTGGAGAAAACATGGTGACACACACCCGTCATCCCAATGGGAGGCTGAGGCAGGAAGATCACTTCATGTTTGAGACCAGCTTGAGCTAATAGTGAGTTCAAGGCCAGCCTGAACTGTGCAGTGAAACCCTGTCTCAAAAACAAAAAACCCGCAGGAGGAGGTTTTGCCGTAACTGTGGGCTTTTAGGCAGCAGTCCGGGGCTGCTGAGTAACGGTGGCAGTTTATCTAGCGCCACAGCCGGCCGTGTGGGCGGAGCAGGGGAGCAGCGGGTCTGTGGAGACGCTGAAGTTCCAACAAAATGAGTTTTACGCTTTTACAGTGCGCTGAACTTCGAGGTGAGATCGGAAGACCCGGAGGAGTCCTTGCCCCGGAGTGTGGGCCAGGATCTCTCCCCACGGCAGGATTTCTCACGGCGCTCCGGCTGAGAACAGAACAGCACGCTCGCGCCCCCTGGTGCAGAGCGCTGGGATCCGTGAGTCTGGTGAACTGTGAAGGACTTTGTATTCCCTAAAGATAAAACTTGGA